GGGAAGAGGGAGGCGGGAGGCAAGGCGGAAGAGGAAGAAGCGGAGGAGGAGGAGGAGGAGGAGGAGGAAGCGGAGGAGGAGGAGGACCATGATAAGCCCAAGATGCATAAACGATGCTGCGATACACCCTCCGTTCCCAAGTCCCTTCGTGACGGGTCCTTAACAAGCCTCATGTTTCGCGGCGGGGAGCGCCCCCCATGGGCCCGCACAGGAGTTGAAGGACACCACCCTCCATCCTTGGAGCTATCAGGAATGCGATTAGGTCGGGTTCTGAAGTCCATGGAACTGCCCAACGGCAGTCGGGCCCCCAGATGATCTGATAAGGCCCCAGAAGGCCCAACAAGAGCAAGGACAGCCTCGAGACGGCCCATGCAGCCCACATGGTACCACCTCGAGAGATGCAAACGAGAGGTGACACATGTTTGGGCTTTTTCGGCGGTGCTCACAGCATCGCCACACAGAGTGCTGCGTTGGCATGGTGGCGGGACTTGCCGCAGGCAGCTGGATACATAAACCCGGGGACAATCGTTCAGTTGTGTCTCTCGGAGGCCTCTTGGGGGTCCTGGCGAGGGCGTCGTGTGCACCTTGAGGGCCCTCGTAGGCCGTCTAGTAGACATCTTGGGCCGACTTGGAAGTTATCTTGAGCCATCCCAGTGAAGGCCAGTTCTGTCGTCTAGGAGCCTATATAGGGCCATCGTGGCTGTCTTCGAAATCACCCTGGAACATCAAGTGGACCAGCCGAAAAACTACGGGATCCATCCCGCGACGGTTCTGTGGCCGTCGTCGACTGGGCCCCGTCATATTCGGGGAATCCTCCCCGGGTCTGGATGTGCCTACCCCCCTGCGAGGGGTTAGAGTGTCCAAAATGGCCCTAGATAGCTTCACGATGGTCCTTGATAGCCCAGGATGGCCTCGAAGATTGCGCAATATGGGTCAAGATGTTTCAAGATAGCATCTAACATGCCCCGTTATCTGCACAATTCGCCGGCCCAACGGGCCAGAGGCGCGCCAAGATCTCCGGCAACTGGTTAACAAAATTTCTAGTTCGCGCGCGCGGAGCGGCCCCTGGGGGCCCCCGGACGAAAAAAGTACCCCGGCAAGGTCCCGGGAGAAGCCACCAGAGCACTCCAGGGGAGGGCAATTTTTCGACACCCCTCACGAGGATCGTGGCCTCCGAGGGGGGAGCCGCAATCGACTACCCCCCTTCCGCCCCAAGAGGCCCCCAAAAGCCCCCCAAGAGGCCCTGGGGGCCCCCGAGACGCCGCCAGGGAGCCCCAAGAGACTCCCAAGAGGTCCCCAAGAGGCCCCCAAGAGGCCCTAAAGAGGGCTCCAGGGCCGGCGGAATGAGCGAAGCGATGAGATAAACCACGAGGTGGCTTTGGAGCCTCCCACGAATGCCCCGGAGATGCCAAAGACCCGTAAAAACCTGAGGTCATTCGATGATGTGTGCCATCTTGCCGTTCAGATCCGAGGAGCTTCTGACGCGTCAAGATGGCCCGACGTGGCCTGAAAGGACCTCAAAAAGCGCCCAGGAGAGCCCCAAGAGGACCCCGAAGACCCACAAGAGCACACGAAGAGCGTTCCAAAGGGCACCAAGAGACAGCGTTTCGGGCTATTTGTTGGGCAAACGTCCTCCAGGATGGCTCCAACAGGGCCTGAACGGGCCCCAACAGGGCCCCGAGAGGGCCCCAAAGGCTCCAAGAATGGCAACCAGAGACCAAAAGATGGGCTCGAGAGGTCTCAAAGAGGCTCCCATATGTCTCTATACGTTGATCATTGTAAGACTCCCTGTTTCGTTGTATGATTCCCTGCTTCCCTTATCGCAACAACTCGCATGCGAATCGTTTCGGGGTGGGCTGGTGAGGATACGCTAAGTGTCAAGAGTTAAATAAAGAAAGACGGAAGCGAAACACTCCACCAAGAGGACGCGCACAAGATGTGCGCGCTGCTTCGGCACGGGGGCCAGGCACTGGCAGCGGATTTCGACTCGTCCCCTGGTCCCGACTCCATCTTCAGCCGAGAATGCTCCTGGATGATGACAACGATGGCAACGAGCATGGGGGTGGCATATCATGTCGTGCAAGGCAGAATGGAACCTCGGGGCGCTGAGTCGGCCAGATAGAACGCTCGAGCACGGAGAGGGGGCCTCGGGGGCCCTGGCTCGAGGCCCGCCTCTTGCCCGAGGGCTCCGCGGCCCTGGCCGAGGCGGGGCGCCGCGGGCACCGGCCCACCCCTGGCCTGCGCAGACGGACAGGCTGGCGGCGAGCGAGGGGGAGAAGTGAGAAGGAGAAGGCCTTCTCAGAAGGCGGCGGCACTTCTCGGAAGCCCTCGCGCCTTCTGAGAAGTTCTCTGGTCTTCGGGGAAGGCTTCGGAAACTTCTCGGAAGGCCGGGGGACTTCCGAGACTTCTGAGAAGGCCCGCTCCTTCTCACTTCCCCCCCTCGCTCGCCGCCGAACAGGGCTCTCGGGCTCTGGCCGCGCCGCGTCCCCCCGCAGGGCACCTAATGGACGAGGCCGGCCAGGGCCGCCAGCGGCGCCAGCAGGGCAAGGAGGCACGCGCCGCGGGCGCTGGCGGCGGACCAGGTGCACTGCATGCGCTCCATGACGACGGGGCCTACCAGGGCTGAACCTAAGCGGTGTTTTTCGTTCTCGTTCTGTTTTCGTTTTCCTTCGCTTTCGTCTCGAATCCGCCTTTACCGCAAAACGAGGTCGAAACGAGAACGGCCCGCGAAATCACCAAAAACACTGTTTAGGTCTAGGTCCAGCCCTGGGGCCTACGTTGGTGACGATCTCGTCCGCCGACTCCTGGAGGCCAGCAACCTGGGTGGTCGCCATGGACATGAAGTCCTTCACGGTGTCGATGACGACCGTCTTCAGGGGGTACACCTTGCTCATGTGCGGCAGCATCAGCTCGGAGACCTGCCAGACGTTGTGCAGGCCAGTGTGCATCGTGCTGAGCTTGTTGTTGTCCTCCAACCCCGGCTTGCTGGGGGTGACAAGGCGTGTGAGATATTTGGCTGTCCCCCTCCCCTTTTCCCTCCAACGAGGTCCAGAATCGGGTTTGAGGGCGGAGGTGACGGAGGGGACGAGCTCCTAAACGCATCCCCGGGGACTCCGGAGCCTCCCAATCTGGAGTCCGTGGCCATCAAGATGGCCAAGATTCCATCTAAGCTGGCTCAAGCTGGGCTCCAATACGCCAAAGAGGTCTCAAAACCACCCTGAATGGCCTCAAGGCGGGCCAGAAGCCTCAAAGACGCCCCAAGAGGTCTTCAAAAGGATCCCCAAGAGGGTCTCAAGAGGCAAAAAACATTACTGTACGATCCAATGGACAGAATGGATTCGTAGCATATTCACGTTTTTGGTCTTGACTGCGTCCAAAACTGCTCAAGAGGCCCGCAATATCGCTCCGAAGCCGCCCCAAAAGCCCAGAATACCGCCTCAAGACGGCCCAGGAGGGAACTCGAAAAGACAGTTCGTGCCCTCCGCCCCAAGGGGACTCCCGAGGCCGCTAGCAGGCATCCAAGAACCCCCCAGCAGGCCTCAAGAGGCCCCAACAGGCCCAAAGGAAGCCTGCAGACGCCCCCCCAAAAAAAGCCATGAGGCCATATCCCCATGACACCCCGCCTGGCTCCGAGGGTCCGAAGAGACTCCGCCAGCCCCAAGAGGGCCGCATCATGGGCCCATGTATTCAGGCCCGAGGAATCACGACGGGTTCCACGATCATCGCGAGATCTCTCTCTCTCTCTTTCTCTCTCTCTTCTGGGGGTCGGCAGAATGACGCAAGCCTCCTGAATAATCGCTAATGTTCGACATGAGGCTCGAGATCTGGGAGCAAGCCTCGGGCAGCGTCGAGCTCGCAAGGGTGCTGGCATTCACGCGCAGCGGCACCGAGTTTGTCCGAAGCTGCTTGACGATGGGCAGGAAGCTCTGGCGAAGCTCTCTGGGCATCACGACGTTGAGGTCCCTGGCGACCTTCTGGGCGTCCGACTGTAGCGCCTTGACCCGGAAGGAGGCCTCGTGGAAGAAACGTGCCAGGAGGAAGGCGAGCTCCACGTCGGAGGCCTTGCTGCTCGCCAGCACGAACTTCGAGGTCTTCCGGCGCGTGATGTTGAGGAAGTCCTGGACAGAGTTCGTGACGTCTTCCTTCGCCCTGTTCAGCCGCTTGAGGAAGATCGGGTTCTCCACGGCGTTCGGCAGGTTCATGAGCACATCGATCATGATTCCCAGGGACAGCTCGGAGAGCATGCCGTCCTGCTGCTGACCCTTGGCGCCCATCAGGGCTTGCGCTTTCTTGATCATCGCCTCCTTGGCGGTGCGCTTTTCCTCCTTGCGCGAGTTGATCTCCCTCTGCTTGGCGTTCCTGCGGTCCGAGGCGGCCCTGCGGCGCAGCTCGGCCTCGTGGCGAAGCTCCTTCATGGCCAGGGTCGTCTCTTTCTTTGCAAACTCCATGGCCTTTTGCTTGTCCTGGGAGGAGGACGGAGCGGAGGGGGGGCAGGACAAGGAGGATGGATAAGGAGGAACACATGGCCTTGAAGTAAGCGAGGGCGACCTTCAGCTCTTGCGTCTTGGCCTTTCGGCGAACACATGTGAACCCTGCCCCTGAACGACAGATTTCTGAAACACCAGCAGGGGGTCCGACTTTGACGAATGTCTACGTACAGCCAAGTGAACGCATACGGGGGTATCCGATTCAGCGTCGATTACATTCGCAAGGGGCAGGATTCACAAGTGGCTTCAGAGCCTTGAAGTCGGACTCCAGGAGTGGGATCGCCTGGTCAATGTTGGCCACCATGCTTGTGACTGCGCTGCGATCCTTCTTCTTGTACCTCTTGGGCTTCTTGTCGCTGTCCTCAACGTCGACGTCGACGTCTTCAAACTCGACTTCCCCGTCATCGATGACGTGGGTGTCTCCGGAACCACGTTCGCTACCCATCTGCATGACGGACATGTGTACGCCATGGCGGGGACGACTGAGGGGGTTTGAGATGCCTGGGGGAAGCACGGCGATATCTGCAGCCGCCGCGGCGAAGCCCACGCACGCAAGCACTTTGGAAAGCATCTTGCTAGACGATGAGCGCGCGGAGAAATACGTAGAATCGAGAACCCTATGAGTAGTCGTAAGGTGGTGGGATACCCGAGCTCGTGGGGCCAGACTTGCACCAGAATGGTGGTAATGATGACAGCGATGATGGCGATGGTAGCGATGACCTGACGCTGGATGATAACGTGCGCAGTCCTGTCTAGGCGAAAGCCACGGCGCGTGCTCGAGCAAGAGGGGAAATCGGACTCGCCCAACCTCTGAAGCTCCTCGGGCCCTCTTCGCGCGTACACGCCAGAGCAATGGTCAAGCACGCCCGAGAGGCAGAAGTAATCACGGCCAGCAGGAGCCGAGTTATCCGCTAGGCTTGGAACAGAGGTGATGACCACGCGCCGCGCTCGAACATCACCAGCCAAGCAGGGGGTCAAGCCCATGCACACAGGAGTATACAATCAGACCTGAGACGCAGCACGAGAGGGGTGCCCAACAGGAAGAGATCAGGGTCCATCGATCTACCACGGTCCCTCGGCAACAACCAAGCCACGGCATCGCCGCCCGCAGCAACGGGACGCAGTTACGGAACCCCAGATTGTGAGACTGGCTGGCTGCGAAAGAGGAACTCGGCGCAGTCGCGACGTACGATTTGCGTCTGTGCGGTGCTGCTTGGGGTCGCACGGGAGCCAGCGCTAGCTGCCACCACTCCGCTGTGATGAGCAGACGCCGCACGGCAGCGCATGCAGCGAGCTCTTCAGCCGCGTGCATACGGCGCCCCCGCGGCGCCTCGGGAGGGATGGGTCTCTCAAGACGGCGGCGGAGCCGCAGGCGGCGTCGCAGCCCCAGGGCTGGGCTGGCCACCTCGCTGCCGTCTCCGAGGGGGCCAGCAGGCGCGGAGCAGCCAGCACCCAGCAGCAGGAGGCGCAGGCAGCCGAGGAGGAGGTGAGGCGTGACCGTTCCGATGCTGGCCCGTGGGGCGCAGAAGGACGCCCCCCGATTCATGCACCCACCTGCCCGAGAGTCACCCCCACCAGGCAACCACATGTGAGCCCTACCCCTGCAGGTCAGATCTCACAGAAACCGGCCAGGGCTCAGAACTCTGCGGATGTCTGCAGCGAAATGAGCCCCGGCGGGGGTGTCCCGTACCCCAGCGTCGACTGGACCTGCAAAAATAGGGTTCGAAACGCACACGGCTAGACCCACGCGTGGCACGTCTGGACGCCACGCGCTGGATGCGCATGCGGGAGCCTGGCCTGCACGGTCACAGGAGTGCCGAGCGCTGGAAAAGCATGTGGACGCATGTGTGTCCATCTCTCGGCCACATGATGTAGCCGATTCTGGGGAACCTGGATCCAAGCATGTTGCCATCTCTTGGGCGCGCATGTTGTGCTTCCGCCGGCCTTCCGCCAGCGGAGCCGCCCTCGTTCTATTGCCGCCGCCTTCCGCCGCTCGCCGCCGAGGAAGAGGTGTCAACCTCTCGATCCCTCGGAGGAGAAGCCCTTTCTGGAACGCCTCCTGAAATTCCAGCACCCGTGGCCACGGCGGCCGTCAGGGTGGCCATGGGGCATGGATCCAGCGGCCTTCCACGGACTGGTACATCGCGCGGAGGCTCGGCCGCTCACACCTCCGTCAACGTCGTCTCACTTGTCGTCGTGGTCGTCCAAGTCATCATCGTCGTCATCTTCGTCGTCGTCGTCGTCGTCGTCGTGGTCGTCGTCGGCGTCGACGGAGGAAACTAGCTCCGACCACGCAACGTGATCGCGGTGATGATCATGACGATGATCCGCCACCGTGCCGTTGGGCACGGAGTGGGCGTGTCCGCAGGACCTTTGCATAATCTCTCAAGCACTCCTGAGGACTCCTTTGCATAATCTCTCAAGCACTCCTGAGGAGTCTTTACAGGGCCCAGAGCCCAGATTGCCAAATCTCTTGGGGCTTGTCGCGTCTCTCCGCGTGTTCCCGGCACCTTCTCGCATGCCTTGTTCGGGTTCGCGAGGGCCCCAAGACGGGCCAAGAGGGCCACACGAGGCCCTCAAGACGGTCCAAGAGGGTCCCGAGACGCCACGAGATCGCCCAAAGACGCCCAAAATAGCCTCAAGATGGCCAAAGAGGCTTCCCAGACGCTTTACGAGGCCTTCAAGAGGCCTCCCAAGAGGGACCTAAAAGGCAACACACAATGATTCTCATCAGGTTTTGTAAGGATGTTGGCGGTCGCCTTTACTGTTTTCCGACTCTCCATGACGACCCAAGAGGTCCTCAAGACCACCCCAAGACGGCCCAAGAGGCCTCCAAGAGGGCACAAAGACGGGCTAAAAGCGCCCCACGACGGCCCAAAAGGCACCCAGAACCGCCATAGAGGGCCCCAAGACAATCCCAAAAGAGGCCGAAAAGAGAGAGAAAGAGAGAGAGAGAGAGCGAGCACGAATCAAAACTCCGAGCCATCCGCCAAAAGAGACCCCCAGGAGGCCCAAGGAGGCCTCAAGAAGCCCCCACGAGGCCCCAACAGGCCCCCAGGAGGCCCCGAAGACCCCCCAAGAAGCCCCAAAGAGGCTCCAACAGGCCCAAAACCGCGCCCGAGAGGCCTCAGCACTGCCTCCAAAAGACCCCCGAGAGGTCTTCCGCGACATACCAACGAACATCAAAAAAGCTGTATACCCACAAGAAAAGCACGGTGGCGGGATGGGCCGAAGGCCATTAACTTTTACGTTGCCGCTCGCTCTTAAGAACCTTGGTGTTGAGAGTTGTGTACGTCACCGATCGCTCTTGGGAGCCCTGGTGTGCACGAGGTTGTCACGTCACCGTTCGCTCTTGGGAGCCTTGGTGGGAAGAGCTTGCTACGTCACCATTCTCTGTTGGGAGCCCTGGTGTTCAGGGATGTTTACGGTGCCGCTCGCTCTTGGGAGCCTTGGTGTGACAGGCTTGTTACGTCACCTTCGCGCTTGGAAGCCAGGGCGTGAAGAGCTGCGTACGTCTCCTCCTCCTCATCCTCCTCATCATCCTCCTCCGCCTCCTCCTCCGCCTCCGACTCCGCCTCCGCCTCCGCATCCGCCTCCGCTTCCGCCTCCGCATCCGCCTCCACATCCTCCTCCTCCTCCGCCTCCGCCTCCTCCTCTTCCTCCTTCTCCTCCTCCTCCTCCTCCTCCTCCGCCTCCTGATCCTCCTCCTCGCTCCTCCTCCTCCTCCTCATCTTCCTCTTCCTCCTCCTCCTCCTGCGCCTCCTCCTCCTCCTCCTTATCCTCCTCATCATCTTCCTCCTCCTCCTCCTCTTCCTCCTCCTCCTGCGCCTCCTTCTCCTCCTCCTCCGCCTCCTCCTCCGCATCCTTCTCCTCGTCCCCCTCCTCCTCCTCCTCCTCGCGTTTTCCTCCCCCTCCTCCTCCTCCTCCTCCCTTCTCTCCTTTATCCTCCTCCTCCTCCTCCTCCGTTCCTCCTCCTCTCCTCCTCCTCCTCCTCCTCCTCCTCCTCTCCTCCTCCTCCTCCCCCTCCTCCCTCCTCCTCCTCCTCCTCCTCCTCCTCCTCCTCCTCCTCCTCCTCCGCCTCCTCCTCGTCCTACTCTCCTCCGTTTCCTCCTCCTCCTCCTCCTCCTCCTCCTCTACAATTACTCAATATGAAAATACTCTCCCTCTTCCCCTGATGGCGTCCGGGTGATGGCCGCGCACCCTCCGCGTACTGTTTTTTTACACACAGGATGCCCGGGAAATCCCGGGAAACGACTCTCGCTGAGGCGCCGGCGTCATTTTTTCCCAAAATGCTGCTCTCGTTGAGGCGCCGGCCTCATTTCTGCTCCCGAATCGTTCCGAATCGTGCTCCCGCTGCAGCGTGGGCCTCATTTTCGGATCGGTGTTTGGCCTCCGTCGTTCAGGATGGCGTTCTCGCCCCAGCGCGGGCCTCTTTCTCGCGCGCCCATCCGCCCGCCCCCACCGCGCCGC